GGCTGAACAGTGACTGTTGATTAGTGGTTGAGATGGAGAAGGAAGCCTTCAGAGTATTTATAGAGACTCACTCATTTACCAGAACAATAACAACCCTCCCCCACAGCAAGTGAAAGAGAGCAAGAGAGAAACTGACAAACTGATTTTTTGGTTTCACATCTCATGGGAAATAAACATAACAGGACACACTTTGTCCCATTGAATGAAGTGGCAGTGCATTAATGTTATAGAGTTGCGGCCAAGGTATCTATGCCTTGAAACTGTAAGCTAACTGTAGACTGAAATGGGATAATAGAGTGTACACTTCATAGATTATTGATGGCTTTACTCTGAATCTAGAGCAAAAGCTTCTGGGGTGTTTTAAAAGTATAATATCCATTTACATTTTATGTCTTTGGCAATTACGTTAGTCCTGATGCTCTTCAGTGTGCACAACTGTAAATGCTGAAGTCCATATATACAATGTCCTTAAACACCTATGGTAATTGTTTCAATTTAATTTTTTAGAATACATAAAGTGAATACCTGTTTTATGTCAGGGTTGGACAGTTACAAGACTGTACTGTATGACAAGAAGGGTTCCTAAGAAATGTAATGGTGCACATGAAACACGTTTATTTAAAGGATATGAGAGCATTTCCTGATTGCTCAGTGACATATGGTAGTGTTATGTAAACTACAGATACAAGCCTCTATACAACGCTTAGACAGCCAGTCAATCCTGGCAGAGACACTGCAGGGAGGATTAGTCAGGTAGGCAGGATTGACTCAGCTGGTTTCAGATCTGAAGCTATTACTTGATGGTGACAGAGATTAAAGATGACTTAGGTGAGTGGTTCAGCATCCACTGGCAGATGACTACTGCAGCTTGACGAGAAGGCTCTTCTAGTTCTTCATAAGCCATTACAAGTTACTTATTTAAGCCAGCAAAACCTAAGAAATGTAGCTTCTTTAGAGTCTGTTTCTCTAGTTACCTGTCTGCATTTAAAATGAGTAATATTATGGTTTACTCAGAGGGTGTGGTGTAAAGCATTGCAAGTATACACTTCTACATTTATTGGGTTTACTATTCGAAATTGAGATACTGCACGCAAACTGTGCAGTCTGCATGCAGTGCTCACGTTCAGCTGACAAAGATGAAGAACATGTACCATATATTCGTATCCATCTGGATTTCCAGACAACCAGAAAATAACCTCCCTAACCTTAATCAAATGAGTCGGAAATTGTTTGGGGTTAAAGCAATGACAAGGCTTGTGGCAATGGCAAAACCTATTTAGGGACTATCTTGCCTAACAAAAGGATATGCTGAATCACTGTCAGAGGAATATCTTGTCCCATCATTTCCTTGTTCACATGTTGTTGGTGTGGTTTCTTTTTCCATAGAAAGCCTTTAGAACCAAAGACAAAGTTGGTACCCAGTGCAGCACTTAGCAGGAAATTCCTCTGTGTAGTGCCACTGCTTCAAAGACGGTTGGAGCAAAGGCACCCGTGGAGGTTCAGGAGGAATGAACACTGGCTTCTGCAGTCAGTCTGTAGGCTCCCTTGAAGACGCACGGATGGCACGGATATGGCAGCTTTTCTCTCATCTTGCTGGCCAGCTTCATAACAGCTACAAAGTTTGCTTGAATTGGCGCAGTCACGTGAGCCAGTGGAAATTACATGCAGAGTGCCTAGGCAGATGATGCCTAGAAATAGAGCAGAGTCTCTTGGAAGACAGCTTTCCCAAGTCAATAAAGTACCAGCTTTGTGCCACTCAAAAATATGTGACTTTTACATGTTCCTTACGACTTAATTGAGACTAGACAGCACATTTCGAGAAACAGCTGTTTTTTGTTCTCTCTCAAGCTGCATCATGGATTGTTTCACAATTTCATGCTTAGAATTCTTCAACAATGAAACATGTTGCCTATTTTTATAACTGATTATGCACAAGCACTGAACGACTGGACGGTTCTCATTTAATTACTATGCTCACAAGCAATGCAATACAATGGATGCCGATATTGTCATCAGTGCATGTAGAAAGACCGTTTGAAATGCACAGGAAGAATATTAAAGTCATATGATTACATCGATATGTTTGTGTGTGTGGGTTTGCTTTCTTTCTTTCTTTCTTTCTGTCATACTTTTATCTAAACAAAAAGAAAAAGTTAAAAAGATAAATGTCATCAACGGTGGTAAGGATGAGGAATATAACAAATGGAGTTTGGGTTAAGTGAAGCAGTGAAGTGAAGTTAAGTGAACAGTGACATTTTCATGATTTTTCTTCTGTACACCACTTCCGTTAAAGGGGTTTAACACAAAATATGACAATAACAATTTAGAAATTACAGACTTTTTTGTTGCTTGGTAGCTGTATGGATGATGTCAAGTAAAAAAGATTTATTAGAGAGATGCAGAAACTTGGACAAAGCACCTTTGAAGCATCTAGCTGATTCAAGTAAACTCTTGAGGAGGTGGACATGTCGTTGAAGGAATTCCTTCATAAATGTAATCACGAAGATGCAAACCACCAGTAACAATGAGTGAGATTTCACTAGAAAACTATACCAGCATTGGACAAATTAAGCTGAATAACTGGTACCAGATTGGAAGACAGTAGAGAGAAACAGAAAGAGCTCATATGTACCACATCACCTGGCATGGGTAGCTACCTGCCAATAGAAGTGAGTCACTGTTTACTGATGAAGCGATAGCTGAAAGAAGCAGCATGGTAAATTATGAAGCACATGGGGCTATATTTCTGCTCAGATTCAGTCAATGACCTACAACATATAGAAAAGCATCCCAAAAGCTTCCTAAGGCAAATAAAATGAATGTTACAGTTCGTCAGCACAACTGGACTTCCTTTTCAATTGCTAAAGCCAAAGTAATGGCAGAAAACACCACAAACAAGCAGAAGCTAGATAAGAATATCAATTGATGAAAGTAGCATTTATTAATGTCCATGAGTTCCGAATTTCAGCCATCACGTACTGCATTTGAGAGCATTTGAATCCATGTACTATGCTATTTTTATATCTTGATATATTGCTTTTTGGGTCAGGAAAAACAGAGTAACTATGTAAAAATGCCTGTGATTCCAAAATTGGTTAGTGCAATATTTCTGAAAGTCTACATTTCACTTACATTTTGAATGCCTCGTTTCAGACCCACTACGGTGGTGCACAGAGGTAACATTATGAAAATTGTCTTATTGTCCAAATGGATTCCACCTTACCTCATGAAATGTGGTGTACAAACATTCAGTTTATTTCACTGCTTCAGACACAGCCTGCCTGTAGACAGTCTATGCAATGTGACTCAACAATGGTAAGGGTCTTAGGTCAACTGCTACAACAAAGCTTGTGTAGGTCAGGCAGAGCTGTGGACAGTCTTCTGACATGTTGAGTCAATGAGGAATGTTGAGGCCATTTGTGGGGAAGCTTATCAAAGCTTGAAGAAGCACATTTTGATTGGTTGAGAATAGGTGAATACACAACTTTCTGTTGAAATATGACTAATTCTCTAAGCTGTTTGAGGGTGGAACCTGTGTGTGATCATTTTATCCTGTAACTGCAGCATTTCTAATACATATTTTAGTGTGGGACAGGGGTGTGTCTAACTTACAGCCTATTGCTCATACAAACACAGTCACGTTAACCCTCTCTCTTCCTGTTTTTCACTGAAAGGTAGTCACAGGCAGTTACGCTCGCACGTAAGCATAAAAATTAGAAAGTGGCCTAAGGTAAGGTGTGTCACGGTTCCCTCCCCAAAATCATGAACCAATCAGGAAGATGTACATAAATAAACACACTCAGTATGCAAGAAAAACAGCGTGGAAGGGGCACAATACAAGTAGATCCTCAACATTCTTACAATAACGCAAGCAGCAATCACATAATTACAATGTGTATATCTTCCATTGCAATCCTGGTTGATTGGGATTTCATGCAAATATCTTGAATTTTAAACAGAGGCAGTGATGTGATTGGTGAACTGCAGAGAGTCTGGACACATTATCTGTGCTCTCTAATGCAATTACACCATACTTTCTCTGGGAAAATCACAATAGAAACTTGATTCTTGTGTTGATTCTATACTTTACTCAGATTGGCTGACTGGGCGAGTGAGTTTAACAGAAAGCGCTCACACCTGGGAGTGGTTCATTTACATTAGCTTAAAGTTGCTGGACAATGTCAAACAATGACAAATGCCTTGCCAGTGGTTGGCCATTTATAGATGAATTCCCTGGACAATGGGTTGGCTCTCCCTCCCAAAGTGGCTGCATTCAAATGTAATTGCAGGAAAGAGTTTGTTGTCCTGGAGTGGCCAATCAAGAGATGTGTGCATCTAAAGAGTGAATGCACATGCACCCAAACACAAACAGGCAGAAATTCCCACACGTGCAGCGCATCGAGCAGTAGTTACGTTGCCGCTACAGCCTGAGAATAGCACACAGTCTACATTCCTCCGCCCTCCCTCACTGAAGCCAACACACAGCAAACTATGGCTCACATGGACCAACAGAGATCTCGGTGATCTTGGAGATGAAGTGTACGTGCAGAAAAGCTGAGTGCATAGTTTTTCCACACCAATGTGATGTTTGACGTACTGCCTTAGTGTGTCCATGCTCATGCATTTATGCATAAATACAGACAAAATCTATCTATCTATCTATCTATCTATCTATCTATCTATCTATCTATCTATCTATCTATCTATCTATCTATCTATCTATCTATCTATCTATCTATCTATCTATCTATCTATCTATCTATCTATCTATCTATCCCTTGTCACTCTAGTATTTTATTCGCCTTTTGCAAGCACAGCAGGAAATTTAAACCTGCTTTGATGACAAATAAGATGTCTAAATAATCTTTCAAAAAGAAACTGTGGGGAGGAGGGTATTTAAATTGGCTACTGTGTCACAACTCTCCAACTGCCCCCTTTTTTTCTACGCCCATGCACAATTATATTAAGTAGGGCCAATAGGAACAAAGAAGAGGCAGGACCGAGGCTCCACCTCTCCCCGACTGCCTTCCTCTGAGCTTTTTAGATGTACATAATCCCTGAGTTGACCCAGAAAATAGGCAGTCGTTTCAAGATCTGATGCGGCAGTCTTTGTGCACACCGTCCCCGCTTGAGCATGAAGCGTAACTCTGTGGAATACACGCTGTAATTCAGAGGAGCTACGATTACAAGAGGAAAACTGTTCAAAAAGCCGGAGCTGAAGAAAAGTCGCGCAACTTTGTGGAAACGTAGTGAATGCGGGTAAGTGATTTTTTTTATCGGATTTATTTGTTGGGGAAATTGGTGTTTTAGTCTGTGGTGGTCTTGGGGGCTGCTGCTGCTGCTGCTGCTCCATTGTTTGCATTCCCTTGTTTCAAAGTCGAGATTACGAAAATGAATAACACTAGGCTAGAGTGTGGAGGATATTATCAGAGACTAACATTTAAACAAACGAATCGCCGTAATTGGTGGAAATCGGGAGCCTCTGTTTAATTTTATACCTTGTTAGAATTATGGTGATTCAGCTGTTGGGGAGATGTTGCATGATGTCAGTGTTCTTTGTTGCAACCTTACGTGCGTAAAATGTAACAGATTTTTCTGCCTCAGCTGTCATGCAACATATATAGGATTTTAAACTGTGCATTACGCGATGCACGCATTTTGCCTCTGTTTTGCCGATCCCGTCATGGATGAATTATCTGGCTTTAAAATGTACCCAAACAGTGTACGTTAACCTGTAATTTCAACCTGGGCGTTCATTCCTTGGCACAAAGAGAGAGCAGGTTTTAGGAAGACTAAACACACCAGTATTTCTCTCAGTATTAGCCAGTGGGCAAAACAACCTTGCAGATTTTTTATTTATTTATTCCACCGGAATCGATTTCGGTGGTTTAACTCGAGGTGGAATCGTGACATTGTAAGGAAGCGTGTATCTTTGTTTCTTTTCAATGAAGGTGAAGAGCGTGGTGACTGTAAAAGAAGTCAGTATTTATATAGAGACTCCGGTTTGGACTACACAGCCAAGTAAAACCTAAAACATGGTGACATTATTTCTGTTGTTGTTTTAACCAGTTTGATACTGGTTTAAATGGGTGGCTAGCTTTGCACATTCCATATTGCTTGGTGTTCTCCTAAATTTTCTTAGTGCTTTGAAACACCTTGCCTGCCCCTTACTTTGTTCTAACAGTGTCTCCTCTCTGTCCATAGACAGGAGGCATGGCAGATCATCTGATGATGCCCATGAATCACAACTCAGCGGGTGCCAGTCTCCACGGTTACAGGATGGGTATGAATAGCGGCCTACAGGCAGGACCCCAGCAGCATGCCAACCAGCAGGGCATGAGGGTGCTGCCCAGTGGCCAGATGATGCACTATGGTGGCACTCAGGCCAACATGGAGACCGCCATGAGGCAGCGACAGGGCATGGTGGCTGGACCCATGAATGGACAGCTGAATGGGGCCCAGATGGGTCACCATCAAATGACCTCTGGTCACATGATGTATAATGGCCAGCCCCAGCAGCAACAACAACAACATCATCCGCAACAGCAGCACCACATGCATCCGCAACAGCACCAACAGCAGGCCCAGCATATGCAGCAGCAACAGCAACAACAGTTCATGAATGGAGGATTAACTTCTCAGCAGCTAATGGCCAGCATGCAACTGCAGAAACTCAACACCCAGTACCATGGACATCCGCTGGGTCCTATGGGTGGGAACCACATGGGGCCCACAGCCCAGTACCGCATGAGCCCAGCTCAGCTGGCTAACATGCAGCACATGGCTAGCCCGGCACTAGCCTTGAATGGCATGGATGCGGATATGATTGACGAAGATGTCCTGACTTCACTGGTCATGGAGCTGGGCTTGGACCGAGTCCAGGAGCTGCCAGAACTCTTCCTGGGCCAGAATGAATTTGATTTCATCTCGGACTTTGTCAGCAAACAGCAGCCAAGCACTGTTAGTTGCTGAGAGGACCTTATTTGCAGTTGCGCAAAAATGGAGACAGAAGAGTGAGAATTGTTCAGAACAGACGAAGCGCGTTCATTTCCTCACTTTTTATTTTGTGAGCACCTCTCCGTACGACTATACCACAATGCTGTGCAGGGTGCACAAAGGAGAACTCTGGGTATTTGCGTTGAATGCACAGGGCATGCGTCTTGTGCACTTGTGGCCAGAGGGTGGATGGCTTTAGGGCCCACTTCTCCTATTTCCTGGACATGAATGTAATAAAGAAATGCTGAAGTTCTTAAAAGCCACTCTGAACAATGCTATGACACTATGTAGCCTCCCAAGCCTGGACTCCAAGACAGTTTACCAGTTTAAAAAGTGTATTTATTTATTCCTATCTGAGAAACCTGATATAAAGAACAACCAGCTTCTCCATTTTGGGATTGAAGTGGTTTAATGGTCTTTTTCTGAACGTAGGTTGGGGGCGGAAAATAAAATTAGTTTTCTGCAATTTTTATTTTTTTCCCAACTCTATGTGGCATAGTCTTGAAATAAGCTCTGATGCCAGTGTCATCTAAAAGAGCATGGGTTTTTATTTTTTAAATTACAGAAGTAAAGTGTTGTTTCATTACAATGGGAGTTTCATCCAAACTTAAAAATGGTTCACTTTTCATGAAGTGCTGCCTTTTTTAGATGTGATGTTCTGAAAAATCTACTGCTTGTACTGTATGAAGCTGTATAACTCCAACATGTCCACACTGTTGTGTTCTATTGGAGATGTAGAACCGCCTTAATCACGCAGATTCTTATTTATTGGTTGTTTATATTGTCCCCTTTTTGTGGTCGAGATGGGGGGGTGGGATGGTCTTTGTGAAAGGGGTTTCAAGGATCAATAAAAATGGCCTGGATAGATGTGTGGCCTGCTTTTCCATTCATTGCATAGCTCTTCCCTCAGGCAGTGCTTAGGTTAACCTCTGGGTGAATCCTCGGTTTTCTTTCAAATCTGAGAAGGAATGTTTTAAAATATACATTATTTGTGCAGTTTGAGGTGGATATCTGGTCCAGATCTCCTGAGTTTACAGTTTAATTTACCTTTTCATAGCTAAAACTAAGTATCACTGATAAGACCATGATTGACATGGTGATAACTGCAGTGACTTTCAATGACCAATGACATTGAGCATTTTTCTCCCCTTGGTGATTAAGTAAAATAAGTGTTTAGATGACATTAAAGGTGTTTGACAACATATCCAGTCATAGGGTGGTGTGCATTCAGCTTACAATGCTGAATCCAATTCTTTCTATTCTTTGTGTAGAGTACTTAAGTTATTTTTGATCGTGTTTTAACTGACTTTATGCGCATAAACTGTAATTCAGAAATGGTGCCGTCCATAGAGGGTGGTCAAAGAAACTGACAATTGACTGTAAACAGTAACCAAACAAATTCAAAACAGCCCCTCTCTAGTCAGGGCCACTGCCTGTTGGAGGAGTAAAACAATTTTCCTAATATAATTGCCTTCATTATAAAAATGAGGGTAAAGAGATTCTCTGCGGTGTCTGAGTTTGTTGAATTGTTTTGTGCCTCCGGGCTATGAAAATGCTTGATTGAGGTCATGTTGGGAATGTCACCACCACAGTTAGCTCTTCACATTGTCAACAAAGGCATCTTTAGTGGCATCATCAGTAACAAGGATGGGAAATGAGAGCATGGTTGCAAAAATAGTGTTAGCTGATTGCTCAATTTTGAAGTCGGTGCAGCTCTTCAAACAGCCACCTCTGTTCAGTTGTCCAATTGTGTTAAAGGCCAACAAGCTCAATTTGAAGCATGGTATAATGGATGGGCCAAGCTGAAATATCTTGGCCTAAATGCAGGGCATGTTTTAAATAACAAAGACTTGCTTAAGGGTGCATGTGTGTATGTGTAGATTTTCTTGGCTTGACACTAACATGAGAACAGCTCATAAGTAGGCCAACAGCCTTGGCACAGTGCTTAGTAACGGTTGCAGGTCCTTTTGCCCAGTGCCAATCTGGTGAGATGGTCTTCTGGTGTGTGTGTGGCACATGGGGCATGTTGGCACACTGTCAGAACTCAGAACTGTCTCCTCTTATATCTCATAATTGTACGTTGCACTGCGAGCTTCTTGTTCAGCCCCAATTAAATGCAGAGGGTTTTTTTTTCTTGATTGCAACTCCATAGACGAGTGGCTAACTACGCAAAACAGCCCTGTTTGCTCTCTGAATCCCTTGTTATGACTGCCGCCTGCCTCACGGAGGCCAGTCTAGACGCAGGCTAAGCAGGGTGGGACACACGGAGACGTTTACTGTTAACTTCTGTTTTTCTTGCTCTCTCGTTTTCAGCCCACCCACAGCAACTGCTTCAGCACAACAGTCTTCCTGTGGCAGCTTGCTGTTTTCTCAATATAAGTCACAGACCAAAAGCCACATTCTAAGACGTGCAGACAGGCAAATTGAAAGAGACAAAAGATAAGAAGAGAGAGAGAAATTGTAAGGATCTCTTGAGTTTACAATTAGAAATTAGGTGGAGGGATTTTTTTCGTGTTTTTTGCTTTTGCTCTCGGGGATTTCTTAGCTGGATTTTCCCACATAACTTTTATGATTCCAGTTAAAAGGAATAAACTAAAAAAAAAAAACCACACATCATGCAAAATACTTTACGTTCCTCTCTTCAGATCTCCATGTCTGCATTAAGTACTGTCTAGTTTTCTCTTTCCAGGCTGTGGTCCAGCTGGTGCCAAGCCTAAGCTCATGTTAATCTTTGGCCCTAGTGCCAGTGACGGATAGGTGGTCATTTGCTGTTGTCACGCATGGCCAGGTCTTCACATGCACGCACGTGCGCATCATCCGCACACAACCTGATCAAACAGGCTAACAGGGCTACCTACGTATCAGTGTGGAGCAATGGGAAGATAAAGGTTTTATGTCTCATCTCTGGTCATTGTGATCCTTAAAACGTCATCTGTGTTGTCGGATTATGTTGGAGTACTTGTGCAAATGCAGGTAGTGAGAAACATTCATAAAATGTAAAAGCAATGGCAAAGCATTTTTCCTCTTCAGTTTTAATTTTGAAATAAAAATTTTCCCACCAGTGCGAGAGATGTGAAGAAATGGCTGAAATGCACATTGAGAGAAACAAAACAGGATATTAACCTGAGATTCCCAGATGAATGGACGAGTTATTTATAATCACTAAGAAGACTGGTTCTGTCTCTGTGAATACTGTGTGATGGTGGGCACATGCTTGAACTTGCCTGCTTTAACGAGAGTTTGGTGTTGTTTGGCATGCTTTGTGTTAACATTGTGTCTGCGTGCTGGCAGAGGGTAAATAAACAACGGCTCCCTTAGGGCAGGCTTCATACAGTGGCCATGTTGCTCAAGCCAAAGTTCCTGATTTTCTAGCTGAACGGTCACCTTGTGTCGCCACTTGACACGAAGTTTCATTGTGCGCTGTCCTTCCCTGTACTTCCCTTGGCACAGCCAAAATATCATAGATACTGCAACGCAAAAGGCCATCTTAGGGTAGCTGCTAGCTGTTGCGCAATAAAGAAGCAACAAAACCGTTTTCCACACGAGGAGGAAAATCACATTGTCACACTGTTTTCTGGACACAACAGTCTAGCCAGTCAGCTTTCTACATGACTCATACTGACAAAGCTTTTAAAAGAACAGATGGGTAATACATTTAAGCAAAAAAGCAACATAAATTGTCCTAGTAAGGCGTTGATTCAGTATGTGACACTGATCGTACATGTCTCTGAAATTTCACTGGTGTAATGCTGTCCCATTTGTGATTTTGATGATGTTGAAGAGCTGCTTCTAACATGTCAGTCCAGCATCTCTCGCAGGCGTTTAATTGAGTTGAGATGCGCTAGCTGCAAAGGCCACAGTGTACAATTTGCAGTGACCTGTCTTTCTAAGTGAAAAAGTAAATTCAAACCATGTTTCAAAAAAAGAGCCATCGCAGTGTAGGAGTTGATAAATTCGCTTTTAATTTGTCATCTATATGTACCTTTTGTACCCTGTGCATACATCCTTCAGAGATAAATATCTAATTCTGGCATGTTGGGGCAGGTGAGACAGATGTTGCCTAGTGACTAGCAACTCCTCCTCCGACCCCCACCTCCCCAAATCTGGGGTTGAATGGCTTGCCAGCCCTTTGAAGTCAAAGGAGGGGGTGTAAATAATTTATTTTCCTGCGCGCAGCTGACACTTCTCAGCCAAGCCCGACTCAAACACATCAAGGTGTCCCAACAATGTCTAAAGGTGGTAAATATTTAGGGGTTGTGTGATTTACACAGTTGACCCAAACTGAGCAGTTGCTATTTCACAATTTTGTTAGAAAGTTAACTCATGTGTCAGTGTGCATAACGCAAAGCAGAACTTGAAATTTTTGTGCACTCCATTGTTCATTTTTTGTTGTTGTTTGTCTGGTAACTGCACAGATTAGACGTTAGTCAGCTATAGGTTTCAAACTCTAAGGTACTAACATTTAGAAGGCGCTGAAATGAAAGATCACAGGGACACTTATGTACCCTCATCTGAAACAAACCCTTTATGAGACTGTTAGATATATTGTACAGTGAGCTCTAATAATAGGGACGTAGCGTCGACGTTTTAAGCTGCTATTTGTTTATCATCAGTGGGTTATATAGTAACTTCTGTATTTGCAGGTTTATTTGACCTGTTTAGTGTCAACTGGGAAATTATTTGGGCCAGTCCAGGGGGGTTGCAGATTCATATGATAGAATGGGTGAATGAGAGGGAAGCAGTCTAGTTCTGTACACAGTGTCTTTGTGAACAGGGCTTTAAGCCTGTGTGCTAATCTGTTGACAGTGGCAAGCACATGCTACCAAAGGCCGAGTAACAAGCCATAGGTTGTGGGTGGAATTACTGCAACAGAACAGTTGTTGTCCATCCCCTCATGTGTTATCCTGCTGGGGGAAATCCTCTGATAAAGTGTTAATTTTCACCTAGGCGACTGCTGTATCGATGCTGTTGTGCATTTGTGCTTTCTTTGCGCTCATCAGTAAGGTGATAAACAGATTTTGCCTTTGGATCTTCACCATCACAGGGTTCAGAGTGTATTACCACAGAAGAAAGTCAGCGACCTTGAAGCCACAACCCACCCCCACCCCCGGCCGTACATAGACATGGATGGCAGTAAACAAAAAAAGGATATATTTTGGAAATATTTCCTGTGAGTCTGAGGTGTGAACCCATTTTCTTCTCTATCCATTATAAACTTGTTATATAATCCACAAGAAATGCTATTGTAAGACCGACCAGTCAAACATGGAAGTGTCTAATATTGCAGAATTTGTGCATTGTTGTGTGAAACCGAGGTGTTATATCCAGGAGTTAAAAGAATCAAAGAAATACAAGTACATTCTTCTAGAACTGAGGTCTTAGGGCTTTGAAGGCACAGCAGAACCCTCACCCTCACTGAAAGCACCTCAACTGACTGCCCAAATGCATGCTGGGAATTCTTCTATCAGATGGAGAGAAGGTGGTGGACCGAGCACCTTACTTTTGTTTTGTTTCTCTCCAGCTGTGCCCACACTTTGTTGCAAAGAGCAGCATGCCATGCTTGTTCGACAGAAAAGTTGGCATATCTGTGCCATAACGTGACACTCAAAGCAAAAATCTGAGAAAGCGTTTTTTTTTGTTCTCACAGTTATGACTGATCTGCAAGCCCACAAAACTTCCTTTCATGCATACCGAAACTCTCTCACTGCTCAGTGGCGTATGACTGTTAGCAATGACAGAAGAGTACTGAGGAGCTCAGCACGGCATTATTGGTAAACATCAACTGCAGGGTTTCCCCAAATACCACTTTAAGTCATACCAAAGAGGCAGCCACAGATGTTGGTTATTCACTATGATATTTAAAGTCT